GGGTGAGCTTAGCTTCCACAGAGAGGAAGCCAAGGAAACCACGTTGGAGATAGGTTCGAGTTCTTGGGTTGCAAGCAACAGAAATCAACTCTGACTAACTTAACTATTAATAATTTATTGGAAGGCTGTCAAGCCACACTCAGAATCCAGAAGAAAATGGAAGCACCAGGTCTCAGGAAGGACAAGAACAAAGATAGCTTTGGGGATCTGTAGCAGAAACTGATGGGGAATCTCTTCTGGGCTCCTACGTCTGGTCGAATGAGTTCCATTTTCAGTCATAACACATTCTATTCTTTATGAGACAATGAGCACTGACGGCCTAAGTTCAGCCATGCAACCACCCCTTAACCCACCAAGATTTTATCCAAAGCAGGGGGGTAGTTCCTCAAGGAAAAGTCTAGCAGCTTTACCAGATGTAGGGAAAATTGCTGCTGAGCAAATTAAAACAACAGATGGGAGGTAAGTTCAAACAGTGAGTGTTAGATGATTCGTTCAGTAATCTTTGCAGAGCTACACAGAAAAAATAGGAGGCTGAAGCTTAAGAGGGTTACGGGGTGAGGGAAAAGTTCAGCTGTTTGTTAGCAGCTGGAAATAAGTAAGCAAAATTTAAACGATGACATAAGGAGGAAAAATGGGCCACAAAGTCTAATGCTCACCCCACCAAATGTTCACAGAGCAGGGAGATGTCTATACAGCCTCCTGTAGAGCCCTGATGGTGCAGTGGTTAAATGCTACAGCTGCTAACCAAAAGGTCGGTCGTTTGAATCCACCAGCCACTCCTTGGAAACCCTACGGGGAAGCTCTACTTTGTCCTGTAAGGTTGCTATGAATCGGAATCGACTTGACAGCAACAGGTTTGGTTTTGGTTTTTTTGGTTCATATTGTCATCACACAGGCATCCAGTACTCTATTCCAATGACCTAAAGAGAAATAAATGTGTAAGAATGTTCTTTGGTGGAACAGAAAAAATTTGAAGTGCTGTGTACTATGCCATTTGACTCACAGAGTGACTACTGTGGTGGTGTTTACAGCCTAGTACTTACGTCTTCCTTATACCAAAGACCAAACCATACCAGTCGCTGTCAAGTCAATTCCAACTCATAGTGACCCCAGGTGTTTCAGAGTAGAACTATGCTCCATGAGGTTTTCAATGGCTGTGATCCTTCAGAAGTAGATTGCCAAGTCTTTCTTCCAAGGTGCTTCTGAGTGGATTTGAACTGCCAACTTTTCAGTTAGTAGCTGAACACTTAACGATTTGTGCCACCCACGGACTCCTTATATCTTCCTTAAACCCAAAACGAAACCCATTGCCTTCGAGTCAATTCTAACTCATAGCGACCCTATAGGACAGAGTAGAACCCACAGGGTTTCCAATGAGCAGCTGGTGGATTCGAACTGCCAAACTTTTGGTAAGCAGCCGGACTCTCAACCACTGCACCAACAGGGCTCCATATCTTCCTTAGTGCTGTATAATTTGGTTTGGGAACTGATATGCGAGTTATGAATTAGGAGGGTGGAGCTTTGTTTTGGTGCAAAATCTGAAGGTCATTGGAACTGGTCAAAATTTTCCAAACCAGTAACAGAGATGTGAATTGGTGCTCCTGGCAAAAGTTCATAGCTCCACAGTCAAATAAGCTTGGGAAATGCTGCATCCTCAGTCCCTCTCTTGGATCTTCTTTAGCATAATAAAGAATAACGCGAAGAGCTCTGTTTAATGGTTTGACAAGTCAACTTCTTTGTATTGGGGAAGACCTTTATATCAATAACCCCCAGCTAGTTTGGAAAGTCCTTAAACAGAGTTTAGATGCACTGTCCCATCTATGTAATTTTATTTGTTCTCTTGTTATAAAGGCCAATACCTAATTACAATGTCTGCCTAGGCCATAATATGATATAGGCAGATTTCCAAGAAAGTTTGGCCAAAGAAGAATTCTATTCAAGTGCACTCATGATCGTTTGCTAATGATGCTATTTTTTTTTTGTAAATTATTGGCATTTTCAATGCCCACATTGTTGTTAAGTGCCGTTGAGTCAGTTCCAACTCACAGTGACCCTACAGGACAGAGTAGAACTGCCCTACAGGGTTTCCAAGGAGCAGCTGGGGGATTTGAACTGCCGACCTATTTGGTTAGCAGCCAAGCTCTTAACCACTATGCCACCAGAGCTCCATTCAATGACCATAGTCAATACTATTCAAACTGTCAACTCACAAGGGTCCATTACAGACCTTGGGTCTGAAAGCAAAATTTTAGTTGCATCAGTCTAGTTGCATAATGAATTTAAAAGTTCAAGGGGATAATGAACACAGTCACAGGAAAGGCAGAAGGGGAAGGGATCTGAGAGCGCAGGTGGACAGGTGAGCCCCTGCATACCTTGTCCTCTAAGAATAGTGGGAAGGGCTCAGAATGGGGGCAGATAAATGGTGGTTCAGTGCGGGAGTCCCAGGTTCAATTCCTGGCCAATATACCTCATGTACAGCTACCACCCATCTGTCATGGAGGCTTGCATGTTGCTATGATGCTGAACAGTTTTTAGCAGAGCTTGCAGATCAAGGCAGACTAGGAAGAAAGCCCTGGCCATCTACTTCCAGAAATCAGCCAATGAAAACCTTATGGATCACAACAATCCAGTCTATAACCAATCATGGGGATGGTGCAGGACCGGGCAGTGTTTCATTCCTTTGTGCAGGGGGTCCCCATGAGTTGAGATCAGACTCAATGGCAGCTAACAATAAAGGTCAGTTTTCAGCTGGAGGGAAGAAGATTGAAGGAGTTGAGGTGTGACAGCTTATACCTTTCTAGTGTAGTGGGAGACAAGTTGTGTGCTGAGGCTGGGTGACAGGAATACGGTTGGGAGTTTGTGGTGAGAGTTTGCAACGTCTACTATGAAGAATGATATGGGGATGAAAGCTGAATATTAAAGATTCTTGAACAGTACTGAGGGTTCAGGCAAAGCTAGAATTAATAAATATATAAAAGATCTGGTTGTCAAAGTTATGCAGTTTTCTCCACTGCTGTTTGATTGCTCAGCGACAGAATTAGAAAGGATGAAAGGTTGGACTGATGTGTTACTAGAGACTGAGAGAGTAATAGTACAGTGAAACCTGTGAGAGCCAGAACGGGAGGGGACTGTTGTTCTTCCAGGTCTCGCAAGTTTTCCGCCTTTGACAAAGTGCAGTCTTCACACTTTTCTATCGCTCGTTTAGTGGAAAATATTTGAGTTTCCTTCTCTGGCAGGTTTCCACCTTACACAGGTTCTGGCTTTTGCAGGTTTCACTGTACAAGGAAACTGATGATGATGATGGTGGTGGTGGTGGTGGTGGTGATATTGAAATGACGTTTGCTGGGTCCAAGGGAAGGTATGGAAGAAAGTGAAATCAAGAGGACCTTCACTGAGTTTGAAGATCAGGTTTAATGAGATTGAGATTGTGGGAAAGGTGAAAAGAAATAAGGTGACAGTCCTAGAGTGAGTTTTCAAGTTAACCATTTCAGAATTAGGGCAATTCCAATGAAAAGACCCAAGGCATGGCCATAAGAAAGAGTTGCAGAAGAAAAGTGAAAATGGAGATGTTAGGAGTAAGAAGGTCAAAGACTTGTGAGGCCAGGTTATGGGACAGAGATGACGACGTGAGCTGGGAAGCAGAAGACTGGGAACCAGGAGTCCATATTCCAAAGGAATGTGGGGACGAATGCCTGGGAGGTTGAGAAAGCACAGTGGCAAGATTAAGGGAAGGATCATCAATTGGTGGTTCTCAACTCTGCCTTCCATTGGAATTACCCACCCCTAAATATTTTGAATCAGTTGGCATAAGATGAGGCCGAGATATCTGTATTTTTACAACACCTCTGGTGGTTCTAATGTGCAGCTGGAATTCAGAAAAAACTAGTTTAACGGTAAACATGACCTTTAGAAAGAAGTAGCCATTGGGGACCAGGTATGTTCCCTTCCATCATGAACTGAAGGAGACGCACCTGGGAGAGCCTACCTCCCACCATCACCCCTCAAAGGCTCCAGCTGAGCCAGGAAATTAAAAAGTAAGGGAGAGAGGGCTTGCATCACCTGGCCTCGGGCTGATGTCCTGACTGGCCTGGCGTTCTCAGCTTCTTCAAGCTTATACAAAGGATGTATTTCAAGTGTTTTTCACCAGGAGAGGACATCAGAACCCATCTCTAAAACAGTTGCTATTCCCGCAAAACAAACCTTTTGTCCAAAAAGTTTTTCTTAAAATATCTGGAGAAATTTTACCTTTTGTAAGAATAAAATCAGTGGCTTATTTTATTGATTGATTTTGTGTAAATCAATCAATCTATATTTTTTAACATATAATAAGTGCATTAAAATTTTCAAACGGTATAAGATTCTACAGTAAAAAGTAATTCTCATTTACCTCTGACCTCCTGGCTCAAATCTCCCTCCCTAGAAGCAACTGCTTTTACGGTTTTGTGTGTATGTGTGTGTGTGTGTATGTGTATCCTTCCCGAGATGTACACTCTGCATCTTACCTTTTTTCACTTAATATTATATCTTGGAGAACATTTTAGTACATACTGACCTGCCTAACTCTGTTAATTGGCTATTCCATAATGTATTGATGGGGATGCCTAGTGCTACAGTGGTTAAGAGCTCCGATGCTAACCAAAAGGTCAGCAGTTCGAATCTACCAGTCACTCCTTGGAAAGCCTATGGGGCAGTTCTACTCTGTTCTATAGGGTCTCTGTGAGTTGGAATCAACTTGATGGCAGTGGGTTTTTTTTTTAAAACTCTGTTAATTGGCTATTCCATAATTTATGTAACCCATACTGATGAATATTTATATTATTTCCAGTCTTAAAGCAAACTTTTTAAAGAAAAAACTGTCCATAAGTGTTAAAGTGAGGTCATCACCAAGTGAGAGCAGAGAAGAGGGGACCCAATGGGAACATGGGGGTAGGAAGATGATCTCACTGTACCTGGACCCTCCAGGGGACCCTATCTGATGATGTGGTCCTTCTATCCCACAGGAGCCTCATGCCCAGGACCCTCAAGAGCCAGATCACTCTGGAGAAGACGCCCAGCTATTTCGTCACTCAAGAGGCCCCTCGACGGATCTTCAACATGTCTCGAGACACCAAGTTGATTGTGGTCGTGCGGAATCCCGTGACCCGGGCCATCTCCGATTATACCCAGACGCTCTCCAAGAAGCCCGACATTCCTACCTTTGAGGGCCTTTCCTTCCGCAACCGCACACTAGGCTTGGTGGACGTGTCCTGGAACGCCATCCGCATTGGCATGTACGCACTGCACCTGGAGAGCTGGCTGCAGTACTTCCCCCTGGCGCAGATCCACTTCGTCAGTGGCGAGCGGCTCATCACCGACCCAGCCGGCGAGATGGGGCGAGTGCAGGACTTCCTGGGCATCAAGAGGTTCATCACCGACAAGCACTTCTACTTCAACAAGACCAAAGGCTTCCCTTGCTTGAAAAAACCAGAATCGAGCCTTCTGCCTCGATGCCTGGGCAAATCGAAAGGGAGAACTCATGTACAGATAGATCCTGAAGTGATAGACCAGCTCCGGGAATTTTATAGACCTTATAATATTAAATTTTATGAAACTGTTGGGCAGGACTTCAGGTGGGAATAAGCCAAGGAGATACAAAGGTTCTTCTCTTATACGAGGTTTGCTGTCAGAGCTGTGGTCTTCTTTCCCCTACAATCCTGGGCTGCAGCCCCCTTCCCCATCTTGGGTCCCATCACCCTGGAACAGGGAAGCCCAGCTAAGGCCAAGAGACTCAGGGGTCTCTGCCACTAGCTCTCCCCAGTCTGTCAAGGCAAAGTTGATCTGCTTCTGGCATGTTGGGTTAATTTCAGAATCATTGTTCCTTCAGCCCATAAGAGGTCTTGGGCAATTGCCTTCAGGAGAGTGGATCTTCCAATGATGATAGATACTTTAAGTGGTGACAGTTCTGTTGCTATGAACACAGCAGTCTGTCCCTGTCTCTGTCCACTCTGGAGTGGGCATGTTAATTCCACACGGCATGTCCCTCCCCTCTGAGCTTAACTTTCCTGAGTGGTCATGGGTGGTGGGGTGGGCGACCATCCTCAGTCCTCAGACCTTAGCAGCTCGTGCAGAGCAGGACGCACCCCCTGGCCGCTTCTAGGAGACAGACCCTTTGATGATGAAATGAACCAGTAAATTCAAAGCCTTTGGTCTAAACTGTGCTTGGAGGACACTGTCTTTGAAAACCACTTTGTGACTCTCCTGCTCCCTGTGGACAAAAGCACACATTCTGCTGTTACGGGTACTTTCCTCACGCAAGCTTTCATGCTCAGCATGCAACGGAATCATGCTTCTCCATGTGAAATAAATATGGCTCTCTCGTGTCCTTCACACTGAGCTTTTCTCTGTAAGCCAGGCCTGGAGCGCGATTCATTCATTCACTTCTCCCCGAGCAAGGTGGGGGCTGGTGCTGGGGAGGGCCTGGGAGAGCTGTGAGGGGTGCAAAGACTGCATGAGGGAGAAGTAAGGGGTGGGGTGGGGGTGTTGGGTAAACGAAGTTCTTGCTGGCAAAGGCTGGGGAAGAACGACCGCATAGACATCTCTGGAGATGTTCTCTTTCTGGAACCTACACCTGGCTGTGTCAGTTCTCTGTTTCGAAGCGTTAGTACCACACTGGAGGTCCAAGGGCTGATGAGACATCAGATATATTTTTGCTTGGTCACCATGATGTTTTGCGATAACTGCCAACATTTAAAAATCAGAGTCCCTGGGTGGCACAAACAGTTAAGCGCTTGACTACTAGCCAAAAGGTTGGTGGTTCCAACCCTCCCAGAGGCACCTTGAAAGACAGACCTGGCAATCTGCTTCTGACGACTTCGAACACATGGAGCTGCCATGAGTCGGAACCGACTCCGTGGCAACTAACAGCAATCACAACAAAAATTAGGAGTGTTCATATAAAAATATGGTTCTCTGGCTTCTTATTAAAAAATTACATGGAAAGTTGGCTACGCTGGGCCTGCACTCCAGATGGCAAAACTGGCTGCCGCCTTTGGATGGGGCATGCACTTGCTGGTTTTCCAAGCCCCTACTTAGCCTGCCTCACTGACGTACATCGTCTACCTGGCCTCTGTAGGCATTTGAGTTTGCAACCCTGCCTTAGATGTGACCCATAACCTCAGAATAAAGTCCAAATCCTCCTGCATGGAGTCTGAGATGACTCCAAAGAATGTCAGGCTCATCTGCTTCTCCTCCCTCCTCCACTGTTGCAACCTCACAGACCTGCATGCCTTTTCTTTACTCTTTCAAGTCTCTGTACCTTTGCCTGTGCTGTTTCCTTTACCTGGAGCACTTCTCCTACCCTTCACCAGCTAATGAGGACCCATTCTCCCTGGTAAGACTTCATGCAAGTGTCACTTGCTTGGAATTTATGAAACCTTCCCCAGCCAAGCTGAGTTATCTGCCAGCTCTTCTTCATTCACATGATAGTTTGTATGCATCTCAATGACAGCTTTTACCATACTGGATTTTAAACTATTTGTGTAAATATTTCCACCATCGGCCATGAACTCCTCAAGGGTCAAGATTGTATCTTTTTAACATATAGTAAGAGGGGAGTGGTTGCTCAGTGCTGGTTCAACGGTAGAATTCTTGCCTTCTGCGCCGGTGACCTGGGTTTGATTCCCAGCCAATCCATCTTATGTATAGCCACCACCCTTCTGTCTATGGAGGCTTATGTGTTGCTATGATGTGAACAGGTTTCAGCAGAGCTTCGAGACTAAAATGGACTGGGAAGAAAGCCCTGGCGATCTACTTCTGAAAAATCAGCCAATAAAAATCCTATGGATTACAATGGTCCAATCCCATTGCACATGGACTCGCCAGGAGTCAGGGGCCGACTCAACAGCAACCAACAATGACAACATATAGTAGGCGCACAGTACATGTTTGATGGATGAATGTATGAGTGTTTGGATGGATGGATGTTGGAGGCCTGGGGGCATGGACAAGGATATCCCAAAGAACTGCACTTCTGGGACTTGCTTCCCAGATGGCCATAGTACTCATAGGTGGTGGGGAAGGATGGCTCAACCTCCATGAGCTACTTTGCCTTTGTCTGCTGTCTGTCATGGTAGACCGTCCCTGGAAATCAGAGCCTGGCTTACTAGGGTAGAGAACACAAACGTCTAAGCCATTTGTCCTGCGCCTTGACCCACCTTCCTGATCTAAGCATCTTACAGAGATCAATTGACTGGGACCGTGGTACCAAGAAAAGTCAGTTCAGTGAGTCTGCCCCATCTGTGCTTTCCCTGTGGTCATGCAGAAGTGGCAGGGAGGGCAGTGGGAACCAGTATCACTCAGAAGCCAGTGACCAGAAAAAGGGTCGGCTGTATGTGGGCATTAATAAACTGCCCTTATACCTTTTCCATCCCAATGTACTTCGTGCCCTGGGCCATGTGATAGCCAAAGCTGCATTCACAGGGAGACAGAATTATATTGGAATATAAAGGAAACACTCAAGAAGGAGTTGATGAAATTTGCTGGTTAATCCTGATTGGAAAGAGTCCAGTCAGAATTGATGAAAATTCTGAATTTTGTGTGCATAAATGCAGCTTGATTCCTTTGCATTACAAGCATTCTCAGACCTCCACTAAGAAGCCTCCCAGTATTATCTGCTTTAATGAATAGGTAAGAGTCCATTGTAATTAGCATATCAATCACTGCATGCAAATGAAAGATGCTAAAGTACCTTAAAAATCCTAGTTTAAATGACTAAAATCTAGTGTACAGAAATCTGCTCAGCAAACTCTGATTTTTAATCCAGTTGAAATGCACCCTTTAGCCCAGGCCACCCTGGGGCAAACCTGTGCAAGTTCCAAATTAGTACGGTTTAAATAAATGAAGTTTGACCACTCAATCTGAGACTAAAAAAGGCTCCTCTGGGCATGTGTGTGTGTGTGTGTGTGTGTGTGTGTCTGGTGTGTGTTAGGATTTGATTAGGTTGCTGGAACAGAGACCCAAAATGACAGTGCCTCAGAAGATGGAGGTATGTTTTTCTCAAACAGTCCAGAGTATATGGTGGTTCCACAACACAGAGACTGACTCTCCTTTCATCCTAGTGCTCATGACCCAAGTTGGCTCACCCCAGGCCTGCCTTCCTCTCAGCAGGAGGGGACTGTAAAAATAAGGAAGAGCACTCCAAAGAGAACAAACAGAGGCTCTATATCCAGGGCGTCCTATAGCAAGGGAATCGGCCACCATCACTCCCTGTTTGGCAGAGGCTCAAAGGCAGGCAGGGGAGTGGGGAAGCTTGATAGTGAACAAACGGGATGGCTTCAGGTATGTTCTGATTGTCCGCATGAGGAAGATGGAGGCAGGCTAACTAGCAGCAGGACTTCTTATGTGATTGGTTTTGGGGGCATATTTGGCTTTCTCTGATTCGTCCTGAGTTGGAAGCAAGGGAAGCTGGCATCATTGACCAAGTCCTGGCTGTTCTGGACAGTTGCTGCAATTGTTGTGGTTTGGCCCCCTGGGCTGGTTGCTGTAGATGTTATGGGACAGAGTTCTAGTGTCATGCATGGTTAGGCCATTGTCCATTTGTACATGTAGGCTTTCAGGAGCAAAAGGGGGCACAGGAAGAGCATGCCTCTGCCCTCGGAGGTTGCAGTGTCACTTCTACCCAGAACTTCCTCATATTGTGAATGGTGCTCCCTAGAGTAGTTGTTCTACTTCCACTCACAACCCCTTGGGTGGAACATTGTCACTTGGTCACACCTGGGTGCAAGGAAGGTTGGAAAATGTGATCTTTAATTTGGGTGGCCATGTGCTCAACTGAACATGTGGTATTCTCCCATAGAAGAAGGGGAGAACAGATATTAGGGACACCAAGCTGTCTTGGCTGCAGAACCTTATCCATGTATCAGTGCCACTGTGTGCATCTAGGTCTGCATGTCTGTGGCTTGATGAGCGTCCATATGTGAGTATGCATCTCCAAACGTATGAGACAATATGATATAGTGGAAAGCACGACCCTGGCAGCCCAACAGGTCTGAGTTTGAATCTTACCTCTGCTACTCCCTAGCTGTATGAACTTGGGAAAATAATGTAACTTCTCTTGCCCAGTTTTATCGGTAAGTTGGGATATCAGTTGTACCATGATAGGGAATTTGTTGTGAGAATTAAGTGAGTCAACATGTGCCTGACACATAATAGGTGCTTAATTTCTTTCCCGTTTATTCTCACTTATGTAGTTCCTGGCAGTGAAATCTGCCACAGCCCCTCCATTCCTGTCAGCTTACACCAGCTGCAGCTCTAAAAGAAACAAACCAAAACAAAAACTTTTCGCCATCAAGTCAATTCCAACATGACAACTTCCTCCAACCTATCTTTTCTAAGGGAGTCCCTGTGTGGTGCAAATAGTTAATGTGCTCAGCTGCTAACAGAAAGGTTGGAGGTTCAAGTCCACCCAGAGGCGCCTTGGAAGAAAGTCCTGACGATCTGCTTCCAAAAAAATCATCCATTGAACACCCTGTGGAGCACAGTTCTACTTTGACACACATGAAGTCGCCATGAGTCAGAGCTGGCTCAATGGCAACTGGTTATCTTGTATCATATGCATTGGGATTAAGTGGCTGAGTCTAAACTGCTGGGCTGCAGAGTTTCTGGCCAAATAAACCCAACACTCATTGCCTCCCAGGTAAGGTCATCATTCTTGGACAGACCCAGTTTATACCTATTGTCCCAGACTAATTATTAACATTGCCCCTTTCACTTTCAACAGTGCTCGATTTGGCTGCTAATTCCCTGAGTGTCCTTGTTGCCCCACGTCAAAGGTGTCCCTAAATTCTGTTTTATGATGGCCTAGACCTCTGGTCTAGTCTTCTCCTAGGTTGTTTTTCCTTGGTTCTGACCAGTTACTGTACCCATTACTCAGAACTTACCCTCAACTCCAGCACTAGTTTATTCCTTCTAAAGGGTTGACCCTCAAGATATCATGGCCTGCTGTTTCTTATCATACAGTTCTCAGCTCAAATATCCACCTGAAGTTGCCCTCACTTTCCCAAGTCATTCCCGACCCTGTAATTCTGTTTTCCTTCCATTATAGTACTTATTACTCTCTGACATTACAGCTTAGCTTACTCATTTGATATCTGTTTCTCTCACTAGTCTTCAGCTCAATGAGAACAGGGATCATGTCCATCTTCTTCAGCATGGTGCCTAGCATACAGTAGGTACTTAATAATTATTCTTTCAGTAAACGAATGAACCACTGGAGCCCTGCTATGAATGATAACCTTTTTGACCATTGCTTGACCACGACAATAGAGCCTGTCTCGAGGCTCTATCTTCTACCCAGGATCTCTTAGATCTCTTGGGAACTTACCGCCA